CTTGTTAAGGGAGAACGATTCGACACGGTTCGGCCGAAGGACTCAGAGATCCTCAGAGGAGATGGTTCATTCACTGATAAGACTGTCAGCCAACATGATTACGGAGTTATCAAAGGAGAGCGCTTCGACACGGTCCGCCCGAAGGACTCCGAGGTCTTCAGAGGAGATGGTTCATTCACGGATAAGACCATGAACCAGCAAGATTTTACGATTGTTAAGGGAGAACGATTCGACACGGTTCGGCCGAAGGACTCAGAGATCCTCAGAGGAGATGGTTCATTCACTGATGAGACTGTAAACCAACATGATTACGGAGTTATCAAAGGAGAGCGTTTCGAAACGGTTCGGCCGAAGGACTCAGAGATACTTAAAGGAGACGGCTCGTTTACTGATAAGACTGTCAATCAGCAGGATTACACGACTATCAAGGGTGAGCGCTACGACATAAAGCGACCAAAAGATTCCGAGATTCTCCAAGGAGATGGATCATTTACGGGCAAGACTATGAATCAACAGGAGTTTGCTGTTGTCAAAGGGGAACGATACGACATAAAGCGACCAAAAGATTCCGAGATTCTCCAAGGAGATGGATCATTCACGGGCAAGACTATGAATCAACAGGAATTCGTTGTCATCAAGGGTGAGCGCTACGACATAAAGCGACCAAAAGATTCCGAGATTCTCCAAGGAGATGGATCATTTACGGGCAAGACTATGAATCAACAGGAATTCGTCGTCATCAAGGGTGAGCGCTACGACATAAAGCGACCAAAAGATTCCGAGATTCTCCAAGGAGATGGATCATTTACGGGCAAGACTATGAATCAACAGGAATTCGTCGTCATCAAGGGTGAGCGCTACGACATAAAGCGACCAAAAGATTCCGAGATTCTCCAAGGAGATGGATCATTCACGGGCAAGACTATGAATCAACAGGAATTCGTCGTCATCAAGGGTGAGCGCTACGACATAAAGCGACCAAAAGATTCCGAGATTCTCCAAGGAGATGGATCATTTACGGGCAAGACTATGAATCAACAGGAATTCGTCGTCATCAAGGGTGAGCGCTACGACATAAAGCGACCAAAAGATTCCGAGATTCTCCAAGGAGATGGATCATTTACGGGCAAGACTATGAATCAACAGGAATTCGTCGTCATCAAGGGTGAGCGCTACGACATAAAGCGACCAAAAGATTCCGAGATTCTCCAAGGAGATGGATCATTTACGGGCAAGACTATGAATCAACAGGAATTCGTCGTCATCAAGGGTGAGCGCTACGACATAAAGCGACCAAAAGATTCCGAGATTCTCCAAGGAGATGGATCATTTACGGGCAAGACTATGAATCAACAGGAGTTTGCTGTTGTCAAAGGGGAACGATACGACGTGAAGCGACCAAAGGATTCCGAGATTCTCCAAGGAGATGGATCATTCGCGGGCAAGACTATGAATCAACAGGAATTCGTCGTCATCAAGGGTGAGCGCTACGACATAAAGCGACCAAAAGACTCCGAGATTCTCCAAGGAGATGGATCATTTACGGGCAAGACTATGAATCAGCAGGAGTTTGCTGTTGTCAAAGGGGAACGATACGACGTGAAGCGACCAAAGGATTCCGAGATTCTCCAAGGAGATGGATCATTCGCGGGCAAGACTATGAATCAACAGGAATTCGTCGTCATCAAGGGTGAGCGCTACGACATAAAGCGACCAAAAGACTCCGAGATTCTCCAAGGAGATGGATCATTTACGGGCAAGACTATGAATCAGCAGGAGTTTGCTGTTGTCAAAGGGGAACGATACGACGTGAAGCGACCAAAGGATTCCGAGATTCTCCAAGGAGATGGATCATTCGCGGGCAAGACTATGAATCAGCAGGAGTTCGTCGTTGGCAAGGGTGAGCGATACGACATGAAACGACCAAAGGATTCTGGTATCTTAAAAGGAGGCGGCGTGTTCATGGAAAAGACTATTTACCAACAGGATTACTCACAAGGGCGACTTAGTGAAGGGTCGCACAGGAAATCCACTGTCTTGAAAGGAAGCTCTTCATATAGCAGCTTACTGGAAAAACAACTGGTCAGAAATGCGAGACACCTATCTTCTATTCACGCATCAATGTGGCCTACAAGTGTTGTACTTGACGGATCGCTTGATTGTACGCACTCGGAGGACAGTGCGTCCTATTCTCGTCACCTTGCGAAGGTAGGCTCAGAATTCCTTTCTCGCCTTTACAGTCCCTGGGCTTCTACTTTCAAACGTTTCAGAGGAAGAGCTTGGACTCTTTAGTTGATGAAAATGGTCAGAAGAAGTGGTCAACGCGGATGTTGCGATCATCTGCAGAAGCCTTGCGCTTATTGGATTCAAAACAGACAAGTCAGTGTCGTTGTTACTTTGCGTCTGCTCATGATTTTTGAGCGTTAATTCGTAATGTCCTGATTTTGTTTTCGAAGTCGTATTCCAGTCGAAAATTTTCCTTCTTTGCAGCAGGAAATGCTGTCCCTTCAACTGTTCACTCCGAAGGAAAACGGGGTAGGCGAAATGAAAGAAACGCTGCAGCTCTTCTGTCCAGTTATGACATGGTAAGTTGAAGTGATCGTCTACTTTTTTATGCTCTAATCTTATTTCCACTGCACGTATTTCCTAGCGATGGAGTGAGCCTGTCTGCGTACTTTGCTTCAACATGGCGTGGGACGCGTTATTCGTGGGACATTACCATTTGGTACAATTATTGTCAACTTGTACTTGACAAAGTCATGGTTGTACTTGTTGTGAAACTGCAGTACTCCTCCGAAGGGCCACAGGGAGACGGGCAAGAGAATCGAAAAGTGCCGCTTTGTCGCGTGCGGCAGTGGGCGCGACGTTTCCTTGATTTGCACTACCCTTTCGATTGGAGCATCGGATTTCATGTAGACAAGGACATGGTGGACACTTATGTCTATTTTTGGTCATACATTGTCTATTCTCGACCAATACCACCTAAAATCGTCGTCATTAGCGGGCGCGACGTCGCACGCGACGCTCACTGGCGCGGCGAATTCACGATTCTCTTGCCACATACCCTCCTCCAGAAGCGCAGATGCTCCAGGTGAAAAACGCAACCACGGACTCTATTTCCGAGGATGGAATGTGTAATACCGCAACGCCCTATGAGCAGCTTTACAAGCTTGCAAACTTGAAGAAAATAATGTTTACTTTCAGGACTTCTCCTATCGTCCTGTGCAATGTCCTGCAGGAGAGCTGATGAAATCGATACGTGTAAATCACTCAGATACATCACATTTTCATTTCGAAAAATGTGAAAAAGGTCATCACTTCTATCGTTCTCATTCCAATGAACATTAATGGATGTAGATATTTTGTTTTATTTTTTACTTTGAAATTTTAACTGAGTAAAGTGATCCCTCATTAACCACGTTGTTGTAGATTGTTAGTTTTTGTATTAGTACGCGTACATATGATAACGCCCACTCGGTGTATAGCATGTGCATTCCATTGATGCATTCATATGTGCTGTTCCTACTTCTCGACAGATATGATTCCTCCCAGCACTTTTGTTTTCACTGTTCTAATGTGTTGTTATGCGGATTCGCAGGCTCTTATATGATTCCCCATCATTTCACTCAAAATTAACTCATTCTTTAGTGTGTAGTAATAGACTTGGTTAGAGTTCTCATGTCGTAATTATCTGTGCAGGATCTATCGGTTAGAATATACTACCTCAGATTTACTGTGTAAAGTGAGGTTACGAATTTCATAGTCGTTGACCTAAATTAATCAATAATGGGATAGCATCTTTGTAAGATACTTAAATGTTTTAGAACTATTGAAGCTGTATGCATTTTCAAAACTCTTGACAGTTTTAAGTAGAAAAATAATATAATAAAAAGCTTATTCAAGTACGGTATTATGTTGTACCTGTACTACATCAGTTATCGCGATCCAATGTTACACTAGACAGAAGAGTCCAGATTCAAATGAAAATTCGGGAGGATAATACCGAAGGGGTCAGCCGAGCTGGCCAGTAATGGATCCATCCTCAGAATAAAGGGGAGCGCACCAATTAGGGAAGTGCTATAGTGCAAGTGACTCCGCCCATACCATCAGCGCTGAATGTGGCAAGGATCGTGACCCTGCCGTACACGAGATGAATGTGAGCTGCGGAAATGTGCCACTTTCGTAGCTCGTTACCACGCCGGAACGACGCTGCAGGTAGTGTCAGCCAGTGCTGTTTCAAACTCCACCAACAGGCAAATCTTATAGAGGCACGTGCCGCACGACCAGGAATAGTGGCCAAATCAGTATCAATGGCCGAACGCACGCCATTAATGACAACTGCGAGGTGATGTCGTTACGAGAGCTTCCTTTAGGGGAGAGGTGGAGAAGAGGTGGGGGGAGGCGAGGGGGTGGTACTTACTCATAACAGGCATTTCGGTGCAAAATCTCGAGAAACCCTACGTGTTACTACTGTATTCGATGGGACCACGTGAAAAAAGATGCTTTCTTTCACTTCAGATGTAGAGATGAGCAGGGCGCACGGCTTCGCCTCGGAGAGCGCAGCAAAGCGGACGGTGCAATTCGGTACGGTGAGACACCAAGTGATACTCATTGACGCTGGTACAGAACCACGTAACTCCTAGCCAGAAATACGACCCCCCTCCCAACAACGACCAAATACGACCCCCCCTCCAAAACGTCCGCAAAGCGAGAAAAATCAACTATAAAAATAAATTTTTCCCAGCCCAAATACGACCCCCCTTTTGGCGGCCAAATACGACCCCCCATAGGGAATCCCCATCGAACGCTGTGCCCTGATGTCGAGATTCGTGAGCTGATTAACGAGTGGTACTGAACGCCATACTATTAAGTATAGCTTATATCGTCGCAATACGTCGGGGCGATGTAAAGAGGCGTGAAAGGAACCAACTCGCAGCAACGTTTCCACCAATGGTCGCTGGTT